TTTTTTGTATTAATTGATTGGTCATTTAGTCCATAGTAATAACACTTTTTTTTTTGTTATCCTGTTATAATTCCCATGGTTCAAATGTGTTGATTTGTGTGAACAGTAAAAACAACTAAATATATTCAATATTGAATAATTTGGAAAAACAAAGGAAAGCAGAAGCTGGAGAAAAGGGGCGCCGTAAGGGGGTGAAAAGTTAGGACGATTCTAAGGGCCCGTGACTGACAGGGGCCCCAACATTTTTTAGAACATTAAGAAAAAATGTGTAAGTAACCTTTCATCAATCATCAATCATTAACATTAATATAACCTCATATTGATAATGTACTCACTAAACTTACTGTTAGAGTTTATTGAAGGATAAATGTGTTTTCATAATGTATTCTCATAAATGTGTTAATGGAAGAACAGAGAACAGTCTGTTCAAATGGCACACATACACACACACACAGATTCACATGACTGAGAGTCACAAGATTCACACTAACAAATAAGGCGTTGGTCAACACCACATGATTGTCATGTTACTGTATTGTTGAAATAAAAAGAATGCACTGAGAGAAGGCGAGCAGAGTTGGTTAAGGAGTGGACATTGCATGTCACTCGCCGATTCTCCTTGCAGCAAGTAAACTTGAAATTCGAGTACTGTTATCTCTGTTCACTGGGTTTTGGTATATTGAACCGAGCTGGGGTTTACCCTTACAAAGTAATATAGATACCTCACATTAATTGGTCCTTCGAGCCGGATTCCAATACATCGTGACGGGAAGGAGGAGGGAAAAGACACGCCGCAGTCTGTCGACAGCCGGGATCATCAGCCGACCCCGAGAAAGACCAGGGATGCAGAATTCGTGGCCGGGCCGGTGCTTATATGTCCAACCTCCCTCATCCTAGGCACGATTGACGGAATCCAACCGGACCAGTGACCACAGATAACGGGTAAGATAAAACGTTGATATACATGGTTTCTCCGCCATTTAAGGAGGTAGAGAAAGGTTACTCCGCCATTAAGGAGGTTGATAAAAAGTTGATATACACGGTTACTCCGCCATTAAGGAGGTTGATAAAACGTTGATATACACGGTTATTCCGCCATTAAGGAGGTTGATAAAACGTTGATATACACGGTTACTCCGCCATTAAGGAGGTTGATAAAACGTTGATATACACGGTTACTCCGCCATTAAGGAGGTTGATAAAACGTTGATATACACGGTTACTCCACCATTAAGGAGGTTGATAAAACATTGATAGAGAAAGGCTACTCCGCCTAGAAGGAGGATCGACGTGCCTTTGGGTACACTTATGAGTGATTGAGTGAAAGCGGTGTGTAAAAGTGTCACCAGTGGAATCAGCGCACAGAGTGGAAACCTAACGGTGATAACACAAACTCTGTGGTCTGTTGAAGTACACTAGTGGTGAATTAGGAATTAGGTTCTGACCAGCACGTTGTCCAGTAGGAACACCAAGCTAGAATCATGGGGTCCAATGGGAGTAAGCCTGCCGCTACAGGGGACATGAGATATATGGAAATATATAGTCATGGCAGCACCAGTTATTGTAGCAAATGGTATAAACTGTACGGCTTCCGAGGAAAGTTGGAGAAAACAGCAGTAAGAGAATTAAGCGACAAATTGAGAGCAGCAACAGCTGGAACAACACAAGGCAAGAAAAGAAAGAAGTTAGAAGCTCAACTGCGGGTTGCAGCTTTATGGGCTGAACAAGCCCATAAAAGGACAGGTGGAGCAGAAGAAGGTATGATAGCAGCGGCTGTCTCAGTGAAAGCAGACGAGGAGACAGGGCGTTCAGGGTCAGTTGACGCTGTACGCCTTGAGAAAGAGAGAGCGATAGTGGAAGAACACAAAGCGCAGGAACAAAGAATAAAAAGGAAGCAAGAGAAAGAGAGAAAAGACAGGGAAAGAGAGACACAAAAACGCATCGACAAAGAAATGGCAGATGCATTAAGCCCACTGCACACCAGAAAAAATAAGGGGGAAACCAAGTTATATCCTGTTAAAGAATTAAGAGAAGCAGAACAATCCTTTGACGGAACAGCATAACAGGGTGACGCTTATCCATTAGTACAAGTGGCCAACCCGCACTATGGAGTTGGCGGTGACCTAGAAAGAATGTTAAGAGTGTTCCGCCCATGGACAATGGATGAGTGTAAAAAGGCTTGTGAGGGACTGACTCCATACAAACAGGACCCGGCGCAGTTTGTCCTTGACCATACTGCATTAATAGCGTCATATGGTTTAAATGGACATGAAGTTTTAAGAACCCTTATGACAATCTTTGGCCACGAATGGGCCAGGGTAAAGGGAGATTTCACTGGGTCCTGGCCCAATGGAAACCCGCTGGAACCAGGTCAGCAGGACCTCATCAATGCACTCGCTCCCGTAAATATCTCAATCGAGAGGGTTTTTGCACTGAGACGAGACTTTACTAAAGTCTCAGGGTGTAGACAGGGAGAAAAAGAGTCAGTACAAGATTTCAGAATCAGAATGGAAGATTGTTTCCGTATCCATAGCGGAATTCCACCCAACAATGCTGTTGACTCCCCATATGTGCAGCAGCTGAAACAAAGCCTGATGAATGGGTTCCACCCAGGTATTGCTGACTTTATCCGCAAGCATAATGTTAACCATAGGACATGCGACTTACAAGAGTGCCTAAATTATGCAGAACATGCAGCAACCCAGATCAAAGAAAAAAGACATAAGAAAGCGTCAGCATCAGCTTTCTTCATAGGAGAAGATGGGGAAGAAAATCAGATTTTCTTTGTGGGACCAGGACAGGGGAGAGGCGGGTTTAACAGAGGACGAGGGAATGATAGAGGAACAGGCAGAGGCAGAGGAGGAGGCAGAAACGCAGAAGGCAAATTCCTCTGCTACAGGTGCGGAAAGGAGGGGCACATGGCGAGAGACTGTGAGGAACAGAGACCACAGAACAAAGAAGGGGGACAAAAGGGACAGTACAAAGACGAAAGACATGGCCCCCCCCCCTTCACATAACCTACATAGTTATGACAACTGACTAGACGTAGAAAAGGAAGAAGAGGACGTCCACACACATCACATTGACCTTTCTGAAGTATTACTGAATCTGTCAGACAACAGTATTAAACCTACCAGGACAATCTAAATCAATGGGGAAAAATTATAATTCTTATGTGACAGCGGTGCAGACTCATCAGTAGTGAACAAAGAGGTCCAAAGAATGTGGCCACCAACTGGCACTATGTTTGTAAAATCAGCAAATGGACACATAAATCAGAGGTCGATTTCAAAGCCACTTTTTATGGAAGATAGAAGGTCAGGCCTCCAGGCATCCCTCAAATTTGTGTTCATCTCAAACTGCCCTGTCAATTTGCTAGGGAGAGACGGCATGGAAATGTTAAAAATCAGTGTAGTACCAGTCAAAGGGGGAATGCGAGCAGTAGGGCCCGGAGAAAAGGTGGAAGACCAGGTCTTCCTTCAAAAATCCATAAACACCCCCAACTACTACTGGTCACTAGACATGCCACAACCTGACGTGACAAACACAGGTGAACACCTGTTAACACTATTCACCCCATAACATGGCCAAGAAGTAATGAAACCTGACGCATTGCAAGTTACACTAAAGTACAAGAACACCCCTGGCCCAGACAAAGACTGATGTGCTCGTGCATCGACTGACACCACAGAGGGTAGTGTTCCACTCGATGTATGCAAACCAACACGGGGATGTTGCAATTGACGCTAGGGTCCCATCAACCACTGCCTTGATAATGGAACCAGGTTCCACGCCACACATATCAGTAGCTAGGGGCCCAGAGACTTCATGGAGAGACTTAGGTTTATTAGTGGCTAGAGGTAACAGGATAACAAAATGGACAGATGACAAAAACGGTTGGCAAACTGGAGGCGGGTTAAAGCGCAAAACTCTAGGGTTTACCCTAGTGATGACACCACGCGCCCACCTAGACGACCCTGAACAACAATGATGTATGCTAAGTGAAGTGGCCTTAGAGGTCCTGAAAACGGTGCCGCCATGCGTATGGTCACAAGGAAAATGTGATGTAGGTCGCATGGTGAACGCAAAACCTGTACACGTTAGACCAAAAACTAACTACAGACCTAACATAAGACAATACCCCTTAAAAGAGGATGCAAAAATTGGCATCAAACCTGTAATTGAAGAAATGCTAAAAGCAGGGATCCTGCGTGAGTGCCCTGATGCATCATGCAATACCCCCATCTTCCCAGTAAAAAAGGCTGATGGGCAGTCATGGAGAATGATTCAAGACTTAAGAGCAGTAAATGACGCTGTACAAAGCACAGCCCCAACAGTACCAGATCCACACACGTTAATGAACGGCCTTAAGCCAAATATGGCATGGTTCTCAGTGATAGACTTGAGCAATGCCTTTTTCTCCATTCCTGTAGAAAAAGACTCACAAGGATGGTTCGGGTTCACACATGAAGGAACAAAGTACACATACACCAGATTACCTCAGGGGTATGTGGAAATAGCAAATTGTTTGGCTACATTACAGATACCTGACACATCGCAGATTTTGGTATATGTAGATGATATTCTTGTTGCGTCACCCACACAGGAAGAAAGCACAAAAGTCACACTACAAGTACTGACACATTTGGCCAAAACAGGAAACAAGGTTTCAAGACAGAAACTTCAGTTTGTGAAAGAGGAAGTGATCTTTTTAGGCCACAATTTAAACCGAGAAGGGAGACGCATACACTCAGAGAGGAAACAGACGGTGTTAAACGCACCAAAACCAACAACAAAAAAATAAATGATGCAATTCCTTGGGCTGACTAACTATTGCAGAGCATGGGTTCCAGACTACGCAGGAATGACTCAGCCCCTACTAGATTGCATATACTCAGACAATGACATGAAAATGTCCGGCAAGATAGAATGGACACAAGAGGCAGAAGCTACATTTGAAAGGACTAAACAGTGTCTCGTAGGGTCATCAATGTTAGCATTACCAGACTATGAAAAACCATTTGTACAAACAGTTGACTGCAAAAAAGGGTTTATGACATCAGTATTGGCCCAAAAACACGGCACAAAACTAAGGCCTGTCGCTTACTACTCTAAAAGGTTAGACCCAGTAGCACAAGCATTACCAGTATGCGTACAAGCAGTATGCGCTGCAGCAATGGCGGTACATTGTACAGCAGAAATAGTTTTGTTCCACCCACTCACACTGATGGTTCCACACGCAGTCACCATGTTGTTACATGACACCAAAATGGCTTTCTTATCACCTGCACGTTATTTGGCACTGACAGCTACACTAATGTCACAACCACACATTGTGATAAAAAGATGTAATATCTTAAATCCAGCCACATTAATACCTACAGCAGAAGATGGAGAACCACACTGTTGTAAAGAAGAGACTGACAGAACATGCAAACCAAGACCAGATTTGAAAGACATACAACTGCTTTGTGGCGAAACATGGTTTGTGGATGGGTCCTGTTCTAAATCTATAACAGGCCAAAATCAAACAGGGTTTGCAGTTGTATCACACTCACAGGTCATAAAAGCAGGCCGACTCCCCCACACATATTCTGCACAAGCAGCGGAATTAGTAGCTCTTACAGAAGCATGCAAAGCGGGGGTTGGAAAATATGTGACTATGTGGACAGACAGCCAGTATGCGCACTCAACAGTACATATATTTGCAGCCCAATGGGCCCGCAGGGGCATGAAAACGTCAACAGGAAAACCAGTCACCCATGCACAGCTGCTGACTGATCTTTTAAAAGCGGTGTTGTTGCCGAAAAGCATCGCTATATGCAAATGTGCTGCGCACACCAGTGGGAAGGATGCAGTAACACTTGGCAATGCACACGCGGATAAGGTAGCGAAGCTAGCAGCTATGGGCGAATATGGGTTCCATATCCTCTTGCAGAAGGGGGAAAGTGTTTCACAACCGATACCTCTTGTGATATTAAGGGATATGCAGAACAGCGCACCCGACAGAGAAAAGAAGAAATGGTTGACAGATGGTGCAACCACAGACCCTGAGGGAACATTCAGAATAAACAACAAGATAGTACTCCCTGTTAGTCTCTACAAAACAGCAGCTCATTTGAGTCATGGGCCGTGCCATGTCTCAACAGGAGGGATGGTGACAATAATAAATGAACACTTCCATACATACAACTACATTACATTTTCTAAAAACTTTTGTAGAGCCTGTGTAGTATGTTGCAGACACAATGCTCAAGGCAATGAGCGACCACAGAGAGGAAAGTTCCCTCCACCAACATACCCGTTTCAACACATGCATATGGACTTCATCGAACTAACACCATGCCAAGGGTACAAATACTGTTTGGTAATGATATGTCCGTTTTCAAAGTGGGTTGAAATATTCCCAGCAAAACATGCAGACGCTATTACCGTAGCAAAAGCCATATGCAAGACAATAATACCAAACAGAGGTATTCCAGAGAAACTGTACAGTGATAATGGTGCCCATTTTGTAAATCAGGTTATTACCAAACTGTCCGAACATATGGGGATAACATTAAAAAACCATTGTGCATATCATCCACAGAGTGCAGGCTTAGTGGAAAGAACAAACGGAACAGTAAAAAGTTAAGACTAAGGAAAACAATGGAGGAAACAGGAAGACCATGGGTGGAATGTGTGTCTCTAGTAGAAACATGCATGAGAATCACGCCCACGGCAAAAGGGTTGTCTCCCTTTGAGATCATAACAGGAAGGCAATTCAGATTACCAATCACAGACGAGGTGAGGGAGGAGGATGATGCTGAGGCAGAGACTACATTAGCTGAATGGATGAGCAGACTCTTCAGAAGCAATGAGATAGCTCGAACAAATAACTTGCCAGACATTTCTACTCCCTTACAGGATACTCGAGTGCAGACTGGTGACCAGGTCCTTGTGAAGGTGATTAAGAGGAAGCATTGGCACTGTCCACGGTGGGACGGTCCCTACACGGTATTGATGACAACACCGACTGCACTAAAAATCGCCGAAAGAACTACGTGGATACATCAGAGCCACTGCAAAAAGATAATACCTCTCCAACTTAACGACGGATAAGTGGTGGAAGTCCGGCTACAAAGGGCGGTGTTTCATTAGGAAATACTGGTCTCAACCCCGGTGAAGAAAACAACAGAACCACTATCACAAATAGACTATGTTGGGAAAGGTGTTGTTTGTAGTGACCCTGCTGGGTCTGACGCTAATGACTATAAGACAATTGAGTGAGGAATCCTCAATAAAAGAAGAAGTCCATCGAGAGAAAAAATGGTCACTACTCAACGATGTTGCAACAGACAGATAACGGTGACTATACTGACACAGACCCCTCTCAGAAGGACGAATATACTCACCTAACCTCCAATGTGTAAGACTTAAAGCTAGGTTACTGTCTGTCATATGACGAATGGTTCGAAAATGTCAAAAACAAGTGAATTAATTCTGAAAGTAATAAAGACATTGTAACCAGCTAGTAATTATGAAAAACAGGAGGGAATGTTAGAGTTTATTGAAGGATAAATGTGTTTTCATAATGTATTCTCATAAATGTGTTAATGGAAGAACAGAGAATAGTCTGTTCAAATGGCACACATACACACACACACAGATTCACATGACTGAGAGTCACAAGATTCACACTAACAAATAAGGCGTTGGTCAACACCACATGATTGTCATGTTACTGTATTGTTGAAATAAAAAGAATGCACTGAGAGAAGGCGAGCGGAGTTGGTTAAGGAGTTGACATTGCATGTCACTCGCCGATTCTCCTTGCAGCAAGTAAACTTGAAACTTGAGTACTGTTATCTCTGTTCACTGGGTTTTGGTATATTGAACCGAGCTGGGGTTTACCCTTACAAAGTAATATAGATACCTCACACTTACGATTCATTTACTTATTTTCTTCCAAAAGTGAATTATCCAAAGCATCGAACACCCCCCTCTATTTACATGTAATGGTTTGGTCCTGCCTCCAAACCCTGTGCGGCACCGGCCCTTTCTAGCAGAGAGTGAGAGCATGTGAGGAGGGATACTTACGTGTGTACGATGTCTCAACGACTAACAAAGTCAGGCTTTCAAGAAAGAAAAGAAAGGAGAGAAAGACAAGAGAGAGGGACTAAAGGGTGACAGTATGTCACCCAGTTTTTCAAAAGAAAAGGTGGGTGTGGTCCATGAGTGGTGGAAATTAGTCTGTTCAATCAATCAATCAATCAATCAATCAATGTTTATTTATATAGCCCAATATCACAAAGGTTAAATTTGTCTCAGTGGACTTCACAGTTTGTACAGAATATCAGTATGACAATACGACACCCTCTGTCCTTAGACCCTCACATCGTACAAGGAAAAACTTCCGGAGAAACCCCACAGTTTAAAGGGGAAAATGGGAGAAACCTCAGGGAGAGCAACAGAGGAGGGATCCCTCTCCCAGGACGGACAGACGTGCAATAGATGCCGTGTGTAAATTTAAAAGACAATACATTTGCAACATAGGTAGTCCAAATGTTTGGAAATGCATGTGTGTATAATATGAAGATGAATCCACGAGGATATCCATCCAGGACTTATGATCCAGGACCACAGCCACGACTCAAGATCCAGGGCTCGCGATCCAGGACACAGGACCGCAGGATCATCCATGACTCCGGATCCCGACGTAGATAGACACCAAAAAGAAAGAAATTTGGGGAAGCTGGGTTAATCGGAACATGAGAGTACACAGGTATAGACAGAGAGAAGGAAGAAGTAAGATGTCCCCCGACAAACTAAGCCTATATCAGCAAAACTAGGGGCTGAATCTAATCAGCCCTAACTATAAGCTTTATCAAAAAGGAATGTCTTAAGCGCACTCTTAAAAACGGATAGGGTGTCTGCCGCCCGAACACAAACTGTAAGCTGATTCCACAAATGTGGAGCTTGATAAGAAAAGGCTCTGGCTCCTATTATATTTTTGGAACGCAATGCCCTAGTACAGGCAGTGCTGGAATTGGGCCGGTACTCACCGGTACGCAGTACCGGCACTTCTGGTTCTGACCCATGGAGTACCGGCACTTCTTGCTCAGTACCGGCATGCTGGCGGTACTCCGGTACTCATGCACCGTGCCAGTACTCAACACTCTCCCCGCCGTTCTTATTATACATCCATATATATATATACAGCCGCCCGGTACTCAGTAGATGCGTCATGAGGTGCCGAACGGACATTCTCATCGCTCTAACCGCTGGAGTTTCACAGCGGCTGTCAGCTGTTTACTCCTGTCATTCAAACAGAACGTGCTGGAGAGGGGGCGGGGTTTATCTTCTCCATGTAAATACTGTGGTGGAAACGACTATGTCAAAATTAACCTATTTGACCGTGATTTAATAGTAATACACGTTTCAAAATAATAATAATAATAATGCCGAAGTAACAACATACTGAAAACTGTTAGTAAAACCATGTTTTAATGCTTTACAATTTACATATCTAGATGCACGTGTGTTGTGTTTATGCAGTGCAACTCCCACCCAGTGGGTGGCTATGTAGAGTGATAGAACAGAGCAGGCACGCCCCCGAGAGAAGGAAAGCAAGTCATGTCACAAATTAGCATTTCTAAAATGTTAGCGTGGATTAATAAAAGTGCAAAAAGACAGCGGTTGTCGCCGGAAGAAACTTCAAATACAGAGAATGCTGTGCCTGTGTTGGAAATTGTGTCTGATGGGGAGCTTTCTTTGGTTGATCCTCCTGCTCCAAGTTCTAGTGCATTAGCATTAGCACTAGCTCCGCCGCCTCCTCCAGAGCCTCTAACGTTAGCTGCTGCTGGCGCAACTGCCACCACCAACACCGGGCAAAGCGATGCACCTGACTGCTGGACAACGGACCAGGTGCAATATTTTTGCAAGACCAATGCATGGCTCCTTCTTAAAGATAAGAAGCTAGGATGTCGGATATGCAGAGTTGTCAAATCTTTGGGAATACACACTGGACAAGGACTGAAACTGTCAACTGAATGGGGTGAGTGTGCAGTGTCTCATTTCGGTGTTGACAAGGGCAAACAACAAGCTAGCCTGAGAAAAAAAATCAAAGAACATAAAGAATCACAAGCCCATGTAAAAGCTGCTGACATCCTTACATCTGCTTCACGTGAAACTATTCAACATCAAGTGCAGTCTATGCATAAATCTGAATTAGACACCACTATCAGAGTTTTTCGAACGGCATATAAAATTGGCAAACATAGCCGGCCATTCACAGACATGCCAATTGATTTGAATGTACAGAAACTGAATGGGCTGAACGTGGGCAGGGTTTTGCACTCCAATAAAACCTGTGGCGAAATCATCGACCACATAGCTCATGAGCTGAAGAAAAAAATGGCAAAAGACATTACAGAAAACCAAAGAAAACTCTGTGTTTTGGTCGATGAATCTACCACTATTAGTGGTAAAACGGTGCTTGTTGTGTGTCTACGCTCAGCATTAGCTGATGTTGAGCCCGAAACGTTTTTTTGGGAGCTGATCGAGTTGGATGGAACAACGGCTGATGACATCACAAAGGCGTTAATGGAGTGTCTTGGAAGAGATTTTAACGAGGACTTTTTAGGTCAGTGTTTCGTTTCTTTTGCATGTGATGGGGCTTCAGTCATGCTAGGGAAGAGAACAGGCGTTGCTACCCAGTTGTGTAGTAAATTCCCAAGCCTGTTTGTGTGGCACTGCTCCAATCATCGTCTAGAGCTGGCAGTCGGGGATGTGGTCAAGGAGGTCTCAGGGCTCAATCATTTCCAGATCTTTTTTGACAAACTCTATTCCTTGTTCCATGCCTCCCCCAAAAATCAGAGGCAGTTAGCGCAGTGTGCGCAAGCAGTCGGACAGCATCTCCTGGTGATAGGGCGTGTTTTGTCCATCCGCTGGGTGGCTTCAAGTGAAAGGAGCGTCAGAGCAGTCTGGGAAAACTACCGAGTGCTTCATGATCACTTCACAAATGCTGCAAACGACACGAGCAGGGATTCCAGAGACAGAGCAAAGTACAAGGGCCTGGATGATGTGCTCACATCTGCAACGTTTGTCAGCAATCTGGGACTGATGTACGATGCGCTCACAGAGCTCAGCGACCTCTCTCGGCAACTCCAAAAAAGAGAGATGACACTGCCTACAGCAGATAGGCTCTTAACTCGAGAAATACGAGTTTTTGAATCCATAGTCACCATGCCTGGCCCACACATGACTACAGTTCATACAGCTCTAGCTGAGAAGTCCTTCAAGGGTGTTGCCCTGCGTGAGAATGGCAGGCTTGTACAGATTCATGCAGGTCAGTTTTTCCGCAGTATGGTAGAGAATCTGAGACACAGAATGACTTCCACAACCTCCTCTCATGTCAGCACAAGAGAAATCCCATTACATGGCCGGGAGGCCCGGGACAATCAGCTAATCCAGGACATGAAAGTTATCCATCCTGGAAGTTGGCCTGAAGAGAAGTTAGACGTACAGTATGGGGACGTAGAGGTGCTACGTTTGTGCGAAGTGCTGAAAGTGGACAGAAGAGAGACTGTTCAGGGCTTTCGCGAATACAAGGAAACCAGGGCATCCCGTACACCTGCTGCCATGGAGCCTCTACTGAAAGCAGTCCGAACCATCGCTGTCTCCACTAGTGAGTGTGAGCGGGCATTCAGCTGCATGAACGATATCCTTACTGCAAAAAGGAATGCTCTCTCTGTCAGCCGACTGTCCAGCCTGGTTTTCATTAAATGTAATGGACCATCACTAGGACAGTTCAATCCGGAACAGTATGTGAGGTCCTGGCTGGCAAAGGGAAGGAGAAGTGCTGATGAAAGAGCCTGTCCAGCTCCAGCCCCTGATACTGATGTCCCCAAGGCCTTCTGGAGCCTTTTCTAACAATGTGAAGTATATTG